TTCTTGCTTCTGAAAAGAGTTAAAGCACCTTGTACGTTTTAGGCCAAAAGGTAGACTAACTTTTAAAAAAATATAACCAACCTGAACTAAAAGAAGTTGAGGGTTAAGTACATGTCAGTGTGGAGCAGATTTGGGAAGTATATTTGATTGTTAACGTTTTCTCCTTGCTCAAGTGAGAAAAAGAAACAGAATTATATAATTTTCATGTACTGACAACCGGAAGCATTATAAACAGCTGCAGAAACCAAACATTTCCTGGAACTAAACTCGAGCAGAAATTTATCACGTGAATCTTTGTTTAAAGAACCTGGTGAAAAATATCTTCAACCACAGTTACGTAAAAGGTCCAGGAGTGCAGTTCCCGTGGATGAGGTTCCAGAAGGCAGAGCCGAGGAGGCCACGCAGCTGTGGCTCAGGAGGTGCGTGCGTTGGCGCAGGGCTGGGGGTGCCGAGGGGCTTGGAGAGCACAGAGTCCTACCCCTCTGCTCTTCTGAAACTCTGCTGACGCAAGGAGCTTAGAGAATCAGGATTGCCAGTAGGACCGTTACAGATTTCTCTGTAATAACATGTGTTGTCAGTGTAGTTTCGTAGAGGTGCTGATTTTACTTTTTTTTTTCAATTTAAAAAATTTTAATCTTTATTATTTATTTTTGAGAGAGAGCGTGCAAGCAGGGGAGGGACAGAGAGAGAGGGAGACACAGAATCTGAAGCATCTGAGCTGTTAGTACAGAGCCTGACATGGGGCTTGAACTCATTAACTGCAAGATCATGACTTGAGCCGAAGTCAGACGTTCAGCTAACTGAGCCACCCAGGCTCCCTTGTGCTGATTTTATTTTGTCTGTCTTAAGCCCTCCAACAGATACCTACATGGAGGTATTTTATTTTGTAGATTAATATGAAGCTTTTATGCATTGAAGGAAGCACACAGTATTTTTCATGAAATTTTAAGATCTGGGCCTGTATTTCTGCCCACTCAGAAGTCTGGTTCACGTGAGAATGAAGGACAGAAGTGGAATCTTCTTTTCTCCAAGGAGCTTGCATTCATTAACATGTTTTCAGGACAGAAAGTAATTTAAGACTTCACAACTTACGTGACATGGAAGAAACAAATTTTGCCTGGAATATTTTGAGGGTCAAATACAACCAACTATCCATCTTTTCCCCGAAAAACTTCAGTACGGTCATTATAAAATGTGCAGTTTCTTGTAAGAATGCTCATATCCCTTGGGCCTTCCAGAGTGAGTTGACTGAAAAAATTTTATGACATTTTAGCCTGTCCTGTAGGTTTAAGATTGATCTTTAAGTGTTTGCCAGATAAAACAGTTTTAAATGGGTGTTAAGTATTACCTGCTCAAATTTGACTAGTAATTTCTGCTTCTTAAAACTGGGTCACACCTGGGTAGGTAAGAGGATGCGGTACTGGGATTTAGGAAGGCAACTTGAGGGGTTCTGAAGTCTGATGCTATGTATCTCCCATACAAGGCTATCATAGGGATTACTTGTGATAATGTGGGTAAAATGCCTGGCATACAGTAGGTGCTTAATAAATATTCTTCATTCTCTCATATTATTGGTGATGGCCACATATATGCAGTCTTTTTAGATTTTACACTAGATTGGTATAAAGGTATACTATATAATACGAGTATAGTAAGTATACTGTATATATAGATACGTACATCCATCTATATATGTGTCTATGTACTATATACACAGACATATGCATTTATATCTATATATAGGCGTGTTAGGATCTATTCTGATTTTAGCAGTGTTGTTTTACATTGACACTTAAGCAGTGATAACATACATTGTACGTGTATAGTTTCTCATTAAATTATAGGTTATGAAAATTCAGGAAACAATGCAAATGGTTTTGAATTTTTTGGTAATATGCAATAAGGTCGAACAGTGTTCAGGAGTAGACTAATAGTATCAGAATCTAACTTGCTCCAGTTTTGTCTGTGAGGTTCAGTTCAGCCTGTAAGAGTACTGCATTGATAAAATATTCTTTATGTAGCATCCACTAAGAACTCCACTAAGGTTAGACTTGGAGTCCGGGGATTAGAGACGGAAATGTGTACAGGCAGTGAGAGGAAGACTGGCAGACGCATGAAAAGAACCTTGAAATCATTCGGCTATAGGCTGAGAAATGGCTTTGAAAGTGTTCCAGCAATTAGTACACCAGAGAAGTTTAAGGAAGGACCTTGTGAAAGAAAGCAGCCACAACTAGACTCTCGGTCACCATTCTTCCCATCATCCAGTTTAGGCCTCTGCACAGCTACAGGGTCTCCTTACAGATAATGCAGCAAGTAATGTAGTAGTGGGAGCTCAAGACAGCGCTCACAGGCAAAGTGTTAACAGCTGAACAGATGCCTCCCGAAAGGAGGATGCAGTTGGATAGTTGCAGTGTAAGTTGAAGGAATTTGGTATTGGTAATTGGGATCCAAATGTCTTATTTTAAAATGTTCCACTTAACTGTTGAAGTTAGTAACATTCATAATAATAGGAAAACTAAAATTTCAATGAAAAGTATGATCAGTGATGAAACTTTATTAAGGCTGTGCAAATTACTCTGCAAAATTTGATGTGACTACATGGTCTGTGTTCTCCAAGAGCTTTCTGGTAAGAACAGTAAGGTCTGGAGATTTAGGTAGATTGCCCACCCATAATCTTATTTTCAGCCATTTATTCAGCCACCAGGATTTGCTGATGGATTGGATATGTGGTGTGAGGGAAAAGGAAAAGTCTGGGAAGATTGAATTATCATTTACTGAGATGGGGAACCCTGTATGAGCGTCATTCTCAGTAGGGGTGGAATGTCAGGAATTTCACATGGGATGATGGTCCAGTAAGATGAGAATTGACTAGTAGATTTAATAAAAATGGTCTCTACTGGTTTTTTTGATTTTGTTGTTTTTTGTTTTGTTTTGTTTTGTTTTGTTTTTAACCTGAGTGGCCTTGGATGAATTCAGTTAACCTCTCTCTGGAGATAATAGTACTTCTTGCCTCATGGAGTGGCTGTGATGAACAGTTTAAATGGATAACTCATTTTTAAATGCCTGTCTCAGTGTCTGGCTAGTTCAAGATGGTTGGATAGTTGGATGGTTGGCTAGATACCCAGAGCTCACATAGTTCAAGATGGAAGTCATTGGTGGCTCTCACCGGAGAATTTTCCAGTCAGTGGTGGGGACAAAGGCCTGATTAGAATGGGTTCAAGTGAGGATGGGAGGAAAGAATTGGAGACAGCAGATACAGTCAGCTCTTTTGAGTATTCCTATAAAACTGGATTGGAGAAATGGGAGTTTATTCATTGGAATGTGGGGTCAAGAGAGAGGTCATTTTCTGTCTTCCTTTCCTTCAGGTTGGAAGAAAGTACAGACTTTATATGCTGGTGAGAGTCACCCTGTGTAGAGGGGACCATTGATGATGTAGTTGGATTTAGGATTGTGAGGTGTTTTGGCCGTAGATAACAAGTTAACTCAGATAACCAGATTGTCCTTTGTCTCCTTACTTTCTCCTTTTCAGCCTTTCATTCGTTTGTTCACCATATATTTATTGAAGGTTTACAAGGTGTCAAGGACCGTGCCAGGTAGCGGGGTAAAGATTGAAGATGAAAGGGTGAATCAAACAGGAATGATCTCTACGCCCTCCTGAAGTTTTTACCATCTGGTAAAAGATAGGAGATAGGCTTTCTAAAAACCACGCAAATAAGCCAATACAGATTTTGATGAACATTCCGTAGGAAAAGTACAGAGGCCTTTTTGGGAGAGAGAATACCTTGGGGTAACTTAGACTGGGGACATTAGGAGGCCCTCAGACGTGAAGCATGGCCACGAAGAGTGGCGACCGTGACTGAGAAAAGCATTCTGAGCCAAAGGAACAGAGCAGCCAAAGGAACTCCCTGGGGCCAGGAAGACCCGTTGCTTTTGAGGACTTGAGAGGTCGGAAGGGACCAGGTCTCTTTGTTAAGGTTTTGGATTATATCCAGGGAGCGGTGGGGAGGCGCTGAGAAGTTTTAAGTCGGGAAGTGACGAGATGAGATTTGCATGGGGTAACAAAACCTCCCGTGGGGCTGTGTGTGGAGGTGAGTGGACTGAGGGGCAAGAGTGCTAGAAGGACACCAGTTTAGGCAAAAGGATCGTATTTGTGAAAGTCTTGAGACCTAAGTACTAAACAATTTTGGTGTGAAACATAGAATGGAGAATATCCTCTGGCAGAACTTGTTTTGAGCAGAATTAGCAGCTGTGAAAAGAGCATTTCTTGTTAAAAATAATATCAGTACAGGGGTCAGACACTTCAGTGATTTCAGATTATTTAACACAAAAGGAAACTTTGAAAAAGACTTTGGCAACTTTGTGAATGATTAAAAAATAATAAGGCCATGTCAACCTTTTTTCCCAGCAACAGTACCAGTGACACGGTATTAGAGATAGAATCTGCTAAGTAAACAGATTGACGAACATGCGTATGTACCGAGAATAATTAATCTGCCTGTGGTATTTTAAGTGTTCATGTAATGTAAATAAACCATCAATTTTTTACTTTAATGTGGTAGATGTACATTAGTTTTATTTTTTTAGATTATAAACCACTACAGTAAAGACCGTTTATTAGTTAATAAATAAATATGTCCAAAGTTCCTCTTTTCACTCTCCCAAGTGTCTTAGTTTTGGGCCATGAGTAGACAATGAGGATCTCTACTAGTTGAAGGGTTGAGCTGGTAAAAGGGTGACCAGGTTATAGTCCTGGATGCATGCATCATTCAACTGAGTTAGGCTTCTCCCCAAAGTGAGTTCTTAAAACGGAGGGCGGTTAGAATATCAGGTATTTCTATCAGCTCACCCACAACTCCAGGGCCATGAATTACCGTGTTCTGAGACCTCACTTAAAGAGAAAAGAAAGAAAAGAAACAAGTTATTGCCTATCTAGACAGTACACTCATGAGATTTCTCTCTTGGTTGTAACTCCGTTTTGTTTTTTTTCCCCCCTCACACAGGCATTTTACTAATGCTTTTGAAGGTTAGAAGATATTTTACCTTCTGGAGTTTCTCTGACTCACTTGATGATCTCAGCTCAAGCTTCCAGTTCAGGGGAGATGATCGATAACCCCCTGTGACATCTGAGTAAGTAGGTTCTTCTGTGTGTTGTGTGTAACTGCTTTAAAAAAAAGAGAGAAAATTTTGTAACTTTAAAGGTTTAAAGTATTATGCATTTTAATTGGGATCTTTACAATTTTTTTTTGTCGAATAATGATGGCAATTATTGTAATTCCAATAAGTGAATATTTATAAATAATGGGTTTCCAGAAGTTAATCCCCTGATGATAAAAAAAAGTTAGTGAAAACATTTTCCATGCATAATACTTTAACTTTTAAGAAACATATTGAAGACCTAAATGCATATATTAAAAATTTAAAAGCATTCTCTTTACTGCTTTATTTTACTTTTATATTATGAAATGTAAGGTTATTGGTAAGGCAGTTAACTGTTACGAATTTTAAAAATACAACTATATACAGAAATTGTCTTTTAACATAGAATGTATTTTGGTTAACTTGAAGTAAATACTGGTTTGTTTTGTGGAAGTAGAATTTTAATAGCTCTTTCTATTTGAAAATAATGATTTTTTTTCCCCTGCTACTGTAGGCAAGAACACAGAATCTCTCTGTAGTTAAAACTTTCTTAATTGAGGAGGCTAAGAAAAAAGAACATGCATTCTTTCTAATTAGAACATTGGAATGGAATTTAAAGAGTTGAACCAGTAATCTTGATATAAATTATTTCTCAGAACGAAAGCTATAGTTCCTCTTGTTATATCAGCTGAAACTGTTTTAACAAAACTAGGAAATCATGAGTTGTTCCATGGTCTTGTTTTGGAATGTGAAGTTCAAAACAACTAAGATATATACAAGATGTTTGCCTCTTCGATGGGGTTATTTAAATTAGGTCTGTATCTGTGCTGTCCCATATGGTAGCCACTGGCTACATGTAGCTGCTGACATTTAAAATGTGGCTAGCCCCAACTGAGATGTGTTACGCATAAAATGCACACCACATTGCAAAGACTTAGTGTGAAAAAAGACTAAAATGTTTTATTAATAGTTTTGTATGAATCACATGTTGACATAAGTGTTTGGATATATTGAATTAAGTAAATCATTTAATATCACTTGCTTTCTTTTACTTTTCTTTGTGAGTGCTAGAAAATTCTAAATTACTTGTGGATTACATTATATTTCCAATGAGCAGAATTAAACTGTGTCATTGTATATGATCAGCATTCTTAGTGATCCATTCCCGGTATTCTTTAGGCTTGAACCTTCTGGTATGTGCATGGATAAATTAATATAAATCTGTATTCTTCTTAGAATAGGATTCTTTGATTTATCAGATATTTACTAGTGCCTGCCATGTGCCAGACAGTATTCTAGGCACTGGTGATACAGTAGGGAACAAAATGAAACTTCCTGCATTCATGAAGTTAACATTCTCGTAGAGACTAAAAACAGACTAAAAACAAATAAATAAGAAAAATAATCTATTAGAAAGCCGTAAGCACTTTCAAGGAAAGCCTCACTGCACGGGTGATATTTGAGCAAAGACTTGAGGGAGGTGAGAGAAAGACCCCATGGATATTTGGGGCAGAGTGGTCCAGGCAGAAGGAATCACAACACAAAAAACTTGTGGCAGGAGCGCACAAGTGTGTATGGGGGAAGGAGGCGTGGTGATGTTTTGGAGAGAGTGAGGAGGAGAAGAAGAGATGAAGGGGAGTGCATGGGCACATCAGGTGAGCATTTGCAAGGATTTTGGCTTCGAGTAAGAGGGAAAGCAGTTGGGGGGGTTGGAGATGAGAAGTGACAGGATCTTTTGTTTTGACAAAAGACTCAGGGGGTGAGGGTAGGAGTGCCAGGTGAGAGATAGTAGCGCCTGAGCCCATATATAAGGGAGGTGATGAGAAAGTGATAGAATTAATTAATTACCCATTACTGGACTTGGATGTGGAAAGAGAGAGAAAGAGACGTGTCAAGCTGTTCTGCCTTAACAGCTGAAGAGTGGAGTGGAGTTGCCTTTTGTTGAGATTGGAAGGAACAGATAGATGGGGAGGGGGACACTCAATTTGGGACACATTAAGTCTGGAAGCCTCTTTAGACATCTAAGTGGAAAGGTCGACGAGTCAGAGTCTGGAGTACAGTGAGAGGTCAGGGTTGAAGAGGCAAATTGGAAATCATAAGCAATTACTGTTACTTAAAGCCCGAAGAAGAGTTGAAGCCACCGAGGGAGTGAGAACAGATGGAAAAGAGGAGAGGAAACAGACCGCAACTCAGTAGCATCATCCACACTCAAAGATGCCCATTGGACGATGTTATTGAATTAGTGTGTGTTTTCTCAGGTGTGGCAATGACACCGTAGTTACATAGGAGATGTTCTTGTTTCTGGAAGGTGCACACTTCGGTATTTAGGAGTGAGATGTCCTACATCTGTTTTCCTCTTTCGGATGGTCTGGCATAAAGGAAGTACAGAAAAAGATGGAGGGAGCATGGTAAAATGTCAGCAGTAGGCCCGTAGATGACGGCTATTCAGGCATTAATACCTGAAGACTTTCAACTTTTCTGCAAGTTCAGAAAGGTTTTTTAGAAGTGCCTCCTAAGAGGGACGAATGTGAGGACAGTGGGCTGCTGTTTTTCACAAGACCTTGATGAGTATTTGACTCTGAACTACATACATGTTTAGCTTTGATAAGAATAAAAAACAATAAAATAAGTCAAATCTACTAGGGGAAACATTGTAATTTTGAGAAATGTTATGTAAGAATCAAATCAGTTCTTTGGAAATTAGTACTTTTTAAATATGGCCGTTGAGTCTTAGGACTGGAATTTACCTTGGAGAACCTCTCAGCCTGCCTCCTCTACCCTAGAGATTAATACAGTGAGTTTCAGGGGAATTAAAGGACTTGCACAAGATCACATGCCTGTGTAGCAGCAGAACCAGGTCTGGAAGCCAGATCTTTGTACTGCTGTTTCATTAATTAAGGAAAGGAAGGAGAGAGAGGTCTAGGACCTGAGCGAAGGACCACGGCAACAATTGGAACTCGGGAGTCTCAACAAGAGAGCAGGAGGAAGAGACTGGAAGGTAGACATTGGGATATTCTAGTCACCAAGGGGAGACAGTGTTTTGAGAAGCAAGAAGGACCAGCGCTGCAAATGCTGCCGATGGGTGGGGTAAGACACGAGCTGAAAATCAATCCTTGGCTTTAGCAAGGAGGATGTTGTCAGTGACCTTGACAAGAGAAAGAGGTTTTAGTGAAGTGGTGGAGACAAAAAGCCTGAGTGAGACAGATTCAAGGGAGAGCTCGAGGAAATAAATTCCTGGAAGAAGGTGAACGTAGACCCTCTTCTGAGGAACTACGGAGGCAAGAGGGGGTCAAGGAAGGTTTTGGATTTTTAGATGAGAGAAATTACCTCATTTCTCCCAATGTGTGTATTAGTAGAGATTTCAAGCTATTCTTTAGAAATCACCCACCATATTAGTGGCATTTAAGACCATCACCTTGTCTGTGTGTGTATATGGGTAGGGTTAGTGTTTCCCTCCCAGAAGGATTTCATAGAACAGTGTGTGGTAGAGTGTGTGTGTGTATGTATTTATCTGTTTGTGTGTGTGTGCACGCGCGTGCACACATAGAGATTGGCATTATGTTCAAGGTTGCTTTTATAATTGTTACAAAATTTGCCTTCATTTCTTCTTACTTAGGCTCTCTATTCACATAGCTATAATTAAAAATTTTAAGGAAGTAAATGTTGAGCCTGTTCTCAACTGAAAGTGTTGAGAAGGCTGTTGCTTGGGGAGTAATCTCTTTACCTTTAAAGAAGTAACCAAAATGTTAGAAGAGATGGAGGCAAAGATATGCCCAGGATCACAAGATAAAATGTTGTCAGAATAACTGGATCTTAGATCTGATTTCCCAGCTATGTAGAACACTTAATCCCTGAGTATTTCCTTACAACAGGTATAAAATGAGGTATAAAGCTACCTAGGACATGAGGTTTTTGTGTGGATCACGTGAGATAGTAGATAAAATGAGCTTTGTCAACGACAAAGCATTCTATAAATACGAGTCACAATGCTAGAGACAAGTCAGGCTTGAGGGTTTGACAGTATTTAGAATAACTGGGGAGAAGATGTGTTACAAAATGTGGCTTGAGACTACTTACAACAATACTAATGGAATCTGCAAGAGTTTGCTCTTTGTCCATGTCAGGCATTGTTAATAACACCACAAAATCCGTTGTCTTTGGGCCCATCATAGAGTTTTGTGGTTAAGAGCCACGGCCAGCATCCAAGCAGTCAATCAGTTAAACCCCTAGGAACTCAAAATTACTGAACATCTGACTGTTTTGGTACTTTTAATATAACGTTAGTTTGCTGGCACTGTGTGGAAGGGCTCTTAAATGGAAAATAAACGCAGGCTATGATGATAAATTTTATGTCAGATTTGAAAAGCAGTTCTGTGTGTGATACTCGAAGTGGAATTGTAGTGATACTATATTTTTAAGAAGTTTATGTTATGAGAGGTTGAGAAATTAAAAATGGATAGCCAAGGTCACTTCCATCAGTGATGACGTAAAGAAGTCAGGTGGTTCTTTCTTAATAAAACAAGTATAAAATTGGACAAGACTTACAAAAGCAATCATATCTGGGCACTGGAAATAGACTGAAAAGGCAGACAATAAATCTGCTGGAAAGTTGGCTAAGAAGAGTGGGAGTTTGTGGCCTCATTGCCGGGGGCCCCTCCCCTCCCCCACCCCTTATCTCACTTGGTGAGAACTGCAGTTTTACCAGCGTGTGCTTTTTACCAGAAGTGATAGATACAGTTTGGTGGGGGTTGGCGGTAAAAACCCACAACTTTGCTGGTTACAAGTGGCGCACTCAGTTCATAGTGGATGGGGAAACCCTTACAGGTTCGCTACCTGGATCTTGCAGTCCCAGGTTGGGGCCACCAGCCAGAAATTTAACAGGGAGATCCCAGAAATGAGAGAGCCATCGAAGGGCTGACATCAGCTCTCCACGGAGTTGTGGCTGAGGGCTAAACTTTGCAAATGCCTTAGGGGATAGAGACTCAAGACAACCCAGGAAAAAGCAAAAGTCAGGGAGTTCCTTGAGAGCTGGAGACAACTTCAGATGTTTTTT